AATATATTAAAATTATTTAGTTAAAGAAGTTTTGAATAATTTTAATGAAACTAATGAAACTAATATTGATTTTTTGATACTTATCTCTGTGTTCCTCTGTTTAACACTACGTCTCTCTCTACTACTTCTACAACTTCTATTTCGGCCCACGCAAGGCTCCATTCTGAACTCAGGTAAAATGGAGTCTTGATTTGATACATATTTAAATCGCGTTGTCGTAAAAAAAAAATACGACAATAAACGATTAGTATATACATATAAATATGTCTCGTGAGTGGTTGAGTCTGTCTGTTGTTTTAATTTTTAGTTCATAAGTTTTCTTGCTCTTCAATTAGTATATTCAAAAAAATGATGATTTAATTATTATTATTATTATTATTATTATTAGAGTATGTATTATATTTATTATATTTAAATTGAAAAAAAAGAACAATAAGAATGTATGCTAAAAAATAGGGGTAGCACAATTATTTGTCACATCTGTTTATTCGATTAATCATTTTTCAACATTTTTCAATCAATATTTTTTCATAGTTTAAATACTCGTTTTATAAAAGATATATATACTAGTTTATATTAAATTATAAATATATTTATATAAACATTTTAAAAAATATTGCTTAGAGAGATATGTTGAAAAATATTGATCCAATAAATGGCAGATATTTCTTTTGTATTTTTTTTTTTTTTTTTTAAAAATCGCTGTTTTATTTTAATTTTTGTTTGTTTTTTTTTTTTTTTTAAATACACACAGTATTCCAATTTTCTTTGGAAACAATTAATTCTATTTTCCAAACAAAAAAAAAAAAAATTAGTGCTACTTGTAGTTAAATATTATTCAAAGTGGCTGAATATTGATTGGATTTATTAATTTTCTTTTTGTTGATATTAAACGTGAATGCGTTGTGGTCATGTGTTTGTGTTAATAAACTCGTTTGACGTGCATGATATAAACAATATGTTTTTAAATCTTATACAAAGCAAGCAACCATGCAAGCAAGCAAGCAAGCATTTTAATCAGCAAGTTCGTTCATTGAAATGATTTTTTTGTTTGTTTCTCTTTCCCCCACTTGTTTCTCTTCTCCACAATTTTATGTAACTAAACCTGAATGTTTATTATTCATGATTAATATTTATTATTGATCCACATTAAAGGGAAAAAAGAATATATAGAGAATAAAAAACATTCGTAGTAACAACTTCAACTTCGTCGTTGCATTTAATGCCAAATCATATACAATCGCATAGAAATCATTTTTCATTGGCACATATGATCATAAATATGCATTATCTAAGAGTGTGTGATGATTAAAAAAAGAAAAGAGAAGAGAGAAAAATAAAATTGTTTACGTATTACCAAAGTTATTTGGTTCGATGCAATATAGAAATGATTTCTATATAAATTTATATTCGGTTTATCTTCTTCTTCTTCTTCTTCTTTTTTTTTTTTCTTTTTTAATTACATTTGGCAATCGACAAATGCATTTATATATCTCATGACATATTCAATAAAATGTATATAAAGTAAATTAATTTATAGGTGACGTATGTGACACGAGTTATTTATTTATTATTTAATCATTGTGCAACTATTTTTTGTTATCTTCAATTTTATATTTATATATATATATTGTTTATTGCACAATGATTGAATTTTTATTTTACCTACATATATGTGAATGTGTTATCCAGTCGATAAATTAGAATCCAACGTAGGATTATTAACTGTAACATATATGTGTATATAAATATTAATAGTAATTAAAAATCATAGGGTATAAAGGAAAGAAAAAAATTAATAAATATTTCGATATCGGGAAACAATTTAATATTATATAATATCTTCTAATTTTTATCGCAAAATATATCAGCATTTTGTTTATTACTCAGTTTTATTGCTATATTTTTAATCATAAAATTGGTGATAAAATTTTATTAAAAGAAACTTTATTTATAATTATTGGTTTGAACTTAAATGAAAACAAATTGTTTCCTGCCAATCTAAATATATCTAAAGAAGATTATAATTTCGTATTTTTCTCATACGTAAAAAGAAAATTTTAATTTAACAACACATCGATAAAAAATAATTTCAAAAAAAATCAAATGAATAAAATAATGAATTATTTATATATAACGTTTAACAAATTTAAATTACTTCGAATATTTTTCTTTTCACGTAAACGAGGAACTAGTTTAAAGTCAGGTATAGTAAAAAGTAATGATTTTGAATAAATGTATATAAATAATTAAGTAAAAATAATAATTATAACGGAGAGTAAAGCATAGTAAAAAAAAAAGATGCTTAGCTATGCATGACGTATTACTATTTAAAAAATAGTTTCGCAGCATGTGTGGTTTTAAAAGGATAGTTTATAAATGCATAGTAATCATTTATTTAAAAAAAAAAAAAAAAAAAAAAAAATATATATATATATAAACAAAAAAGATAAAGCAAAATCAAACGACGATTATATTTTTATTATTTTAATTTCTGAGTGACTACTAGTACCTTCGACTTTAAACTATAACATCGATTATATATTTCGAATAAATTCAAAATGCTTATGAAAAAAAAAAAAACTAACCCCAACAACAGTTGTATTAATCTTTTAAAAGAAAAAAAAAAAAAAAAGCGAAAAATGTAGCATTTTGAGTTTATTATGCAATGGCGAGTTACTCGATGATTATAAATACAAATTTTTTCAATCAAAAATATAATTATTATCAACAATATAT